ATATTTTATATAGGTAAGAGATTCAACTAGACACGATTAAAAAAAATGCATTATAATGACTAACTTGATTATACTTCAAAGTTGAAAGCAGCAACTAAACTTAAATTAAATTGGGTACATTTTTGAGACATTTTCCATCTTTTGTGTTCCAAAGTAAAAAGAAAGTCAACTAGGTTTGTAATGACATTAGGTGGTGATTAAATATTGACAAAACATGCCGTTTCAGATTTATTTGAGTTTTAACTATGGTCAGTTGTTTTTTATGTCAGTCAGACGGACTCTTGTTGAGTATTTTATTTAATCATTATTTCATACTGTAGATTTATTAAGCTGTTAGGACTGTTGGTTATACATCACAACAATGTAGTTGTGTGTAGTGTGTAGTGGTCTTTTAATGCTTTTTATCAAATTTTGTAATATTGTGATTCATTTGGTTGAATACTTTGAATTCTTTGAAACCCCTATGGAAAAACATGGGGAAATGCTTCCAGAACCCACATAGTGCTGATAAATGACATGTGCGCGATCCAGTGCAAGTGATTGGCTGATGGTGTCCCTTCTACCTGTCAATCACTCAAGCCAGCCAATAGGCTTAAAGCAAAGGAGGGGTTATGTGATTATGATGTAATACGGCACAATTCTCTTATTTGAATATCATTAGCATAATCACAGAGTAGGACATGTACAGTAACCAAGTGAGGAGAGATTCTCCATCACTATACTGTGTGTTTCCTGTGGAGAGGGACATGTATGTGCCATCTGCTCACACATATCAGTGCTGGGTTCCTCACAAACCAAAAATGCTCATAGGATTTTGATTTAGTATGCGGTTAAATCATGGAAATGATAGTGGGAGCGTAAAGCTGAGGGGGAAATGCGTTTTAAGAGATGGATTTCAGATGATATCACCACGGGACATTTTTCAGACGACGTGGCGCGGCGGGGGATTTTTATCATTCGATGCCGCTGGATACTCCACTTGATTTAGTGCAAATACTTAACATAATGTAACGGGCGGAGAAAGACCTTTCGCTGATAACAGCATCTGTCTCTTATACATGAGCAGTGGGGCAGCTTTTAGGACATTTATATTTTAAAAAGCCCATATTTTTCACTCCTGCATCATTTTATTTTCTCCCCCTGTAGTCCACTTATTATGTCAGTCGGGGTTTCTTGGCAGAAACCAGAAACGTTTTTTTTCAGGATCATTTTACATTTGATCTCTGAGCATCCAAGTTGAAGAGGATTTTGCTACTGTACCTTCTATATGCAAATGAGCCCTGTTGTGATTGGCTCACCTCTTTGCATGCGAAATTAGATTCATATTTACTTGCTGGTTGCGCTTTCAGCTCCAATATGCACTGTAAAAATAATTTTTTTAGTAGATGTAAATAAAAGAATGGAGTGCATTTTACATTAAAATATTAATAGTCAATGCTTTAAAATTTCACTTTTATTTCAGTGTGTTACTTGCTGTTTATTTGTAATTTATTGTTAAATTTACTAGCAATTTCTGAGGGAAAACTGTTTGTACACCAACTTTTTTCAGTGTAGCCATCCTTCAATAAGTCACATTATTTTATTTTATTTTATTAAATATATTATAAAAATTATTATATATATATTCTACAATTATATGTTTTGTAAATTTTCATTGCATATGGTAAATCAGTTAACAACCAATTAAAATTTATTTTATGGTAGCATTTTTTCTGTCAATTTTTTTGATTTACTTTTGTTTCATTTTATTTTTTTATTTTATTTTATATGGCTTGTTCTGTTCTTTTTCTATTCTCTCTGTTTTCTTTTTATTTATTATATAATAATAATAAAAAAAACTTGCTACTTGTACTGCGTTAAGCGAACAGAGCCTTGTTATAGCACTTGTATATCATTGCTCATTTGTTGTTTTGATTGCTTCCATTGTCCTCATTTGTAAGTCGCTTTGGATAAAAGCATCTGGTAAATGACTAAATGTAAATGTATTTGGTGCCATTAAATAATAGCCACAGAACATTGCTACAAAAATGAGACATGGAGGAGCAGCCTGAACATTCTTCAAAACATCTAATTTTGTGCTCTACAGACATAAGTTAGTCATATGGGTCTGGAACAAATATGAGAGTGAATAAATGATAACAGAAGTGTAATTTTTAGGTGAACTGTCGCCTTAAATCCAGAAGAATGAATGAAGACCTACACATTCCTTCACCTATCGTAACAATAAAGTCCAGATGGCTGAAGCGCAGCCAGAGAGAGAGAGAAACAGTGCTGATAGCATCTCTCTTCAGCTCCAGTGTGTCTGCTGTAATTACAGAGAAACACACTACAACACATCCATGTCAACACTCACTCAGGTAACACAACTGTTACCTCGCTCTTCCACTAACACACACACACTCTCTGAAATCTGACGTATTCCTGCTCGGGTTTCTAAAGGGCAGCTCAGCGTTTGACGTTCAGATGTTCGATTTTCTGCTGTAATATTTATCCACATTCCAGCCGAGCGAGTGCAGCACTTTGAGGTGGAGGTGTGTGTGTGTGTGTGTGTGTGTGGTTTATGAATTAGATGGTGTTTAGCCATCCGTTCCTTTAGGAAATCGCTAATGAGATCTCTATCGTCTCTTCTAGACAGCAGTGAGATTAAATTACTTTTATTTGACGCCTCTGCTTTTAAGAAAAAGACTCATTTGTCTCTAGAAATCTCAAGTCACGAACTGCTTTGATTTGCCAAGATACCAGAGTATGCAATCAAAATGTATAGATCTCGATATGAGTTCAAACATTTCTCATTAAATTCTTGCGAAACAAAATGACCTGAGCTATTACTTTTAATATTACTATTACACTTTAATTTGTGTCTTTTTAGTTCTCTTAAGGAATTTTAGAACATTAAACGGTGGTGGAGCGCTTCATGTGATATGGAATGTCATTTTGGTATTATTTTGTTTAAGTTTACAGTTTTAACAATAGTTTATCATGAAAGTACATGTAGATATTTTAATAGAATATATTTAAGATTTTTAAATAGAAATTTTGACCATTAAATATTAAAGTAATTGATAAGGTTATAAAAAATGTATATTTTATAATATATAAAATATTTAACTTGTTGTTTAATATTTCACTGTATATGTTAACTCAACTTAAAGGTAACAATTAATATTTTTGAATGGTTACATATTTAGATTGTTTCTGCTAAAATTACTTTTATATATTTCATTAATTATTTTAACACTCTTATTTTATTTGATTTGATTGTTTTTCCTGTGAAGTTGCATATATTTTATCTCTGCTTTGACTTTTTATTTTTGCTTTTTCTGAGCTAAAGGACTATAAAATATCCATTTATTATTTCAAATATAATTTTTTAAATATTAATTTAATTTCATGCGTTGAAAATGAAATTGTTCAATGATCTTTTACGGGAAGATCTATTTTACACCACTATTATATGTAATTTATTAGTGTTAAATATAAATTTAAAATATGAAAATATAAGTTTTCACTGTATATGGTAAATCATCTCAAAGTGAATTACATTTTTATTTTATTTTATTTTAGAGCTCTCTGTGATGTTTCTAGGACATTATGGGTCCTCAACAAACAGAGATCATTAGTTTAATCGAATGTTTAGTTTCATGCTTTGAAAATGATCTCTGTTCAATGATCTTTGACAGGAAGTGAAGGCTGGTGTTCTCTTTATGAACGGAGACTGATTGTGTGCTTATGTCAACAGTGTGTGTGTGTGTGTGTGCCGTCTGTTCGTGTCTGCTACTCTCACTGTGAGACTAATTACAAGACTTTACTCGTAACCACAACAACCAGGACCAGAACCTGATGAAACCTTTCTCAATCCTCTCACACACTCGTTTGACACCTTCACAGCTTCATTTATGTATATTTATGAGTGTGTGTGGTTGATCTTTATGTATTTTATGTGACTGTGAACCTGGTTTACAGCTCTCCATCCTCAAGTTCTCCATCAGAGAAAGCGACACTGGAAGAAAGCGTCAATAATGTCTCAGCAAACTTTAATAAATCCATGCAGCTGTAGTCTGACACAATGTCAGTATTTGACACAGTAACACAACGTTCTGTGCAAACAGATGAAATCTGCTATAAAAATGTGAAAAGAAAAAGATCGCTAAATATATTTTTCTACATTTAGTTTGGGTTGGTCTACACACTGAAAAAAAAATGGTGTAGGATTTACATTGAAATGATTTTTATTTAAAAATTGCTAGTAAATTTTACAAAAGTAACACAACGTTCTGTGCAAACAGATGAAATCTGCTATAAAAATGTGAAAAGAAAAAGATCGCTAAATATATTTTTCTACATTTAGTTTGGGTTGGTCTACACACTGAAAAAAAATGGTGTAGGATTTACATTGAAATGATTTTTATTTAAAAATTGCTAGTAAATTTTACAAAGAATTACAAAGAAATGGCAAGTAACATTGAATTAAATGTGAAGATATTTTTATTTACAACTTTGAAAAATAATTTTTTTTTAATTATATTTATACTTGTATAAAAACTTTTCGACTTGAAAAAATAGAACATTTTTTAAAATAAAAATTGTTACAAAACAGATTTTTTTCAGTGTTCACACACATTATTGAATAGCTTCTTGAAACACATTTTTCTTCATTAAAAGCAATTCAAAAGAACTTATATTCTGACAAAATAACTTTTTTGCAAGCAACATGATCCTTTTTTATGAATTAATCATTTTACCGGTTGGTTATGATTAATTATTTGTGAAATTTTAGCAGTTTGTGAAAAATTGTTTCTATGCCATTGTTTCTTTCTTCAGTGTATTCTTTGGTGTTGTGTTTTTGTTATTTTTTTTTTTCAATGTCAAACATATTCTGAATTGTATATGTTAGATTTGTCGAAAGTGTGTCAAACATTTGAGATGTAATACTGTAACTCATGACTAATTTCTTTAGTTAATTGAATAATCATATCAAATTCTCTCTGTTTCTTTCCTAGGGAACTATGGTGAGAGTGGGATGGAGGCGTTTAAAGAGATGGCGGGGAAGGAAGGCATTTGTATCGCTCACTCGGATAAAATCTGGAGTAACGCCGGCGAGCAGAGCTTTGACCGCCTGCTGGTCAAACTGCGCAAGTATCTACCCAAAGCTCGCGTGGTGGCGTGTTTCTGCGAGGGCATGACCGTACGAAACATCCTGATGGCCATGAGACGACAAAACCTCGTCGGAGAGTTCCTGTTGGTCGGCAGGTCAGTGGAGGAGTGAATGATGAAAAACATGGAGAAATTGAGTGTGATTTTACTTGGCCTTCGACTGGAGATTTAGGCCATGTCCACACATGGAGTTTTTCCTTCTTCCGTTTAAAAAAAAATCTCTGTCCACATGAAAACGCAAACGCATGCTATGAAGCACTGTCAAGAGCATGCCAAACCAACAGGTGGCGATATAATCTCAACCGTAAAGCCATGTTGGCCAATCAGAAGCCTGAAAAAGCTTCCAGTAGGCGTAGATAACAGCGCAGGCTCCGACGTCACAAGCTAAAAACTTCAGTGACCTGGTGCTGCATTTGCGTGTGGAGGAACGGCCAAACTGCGTAGAAAAAGCTGCTGTTTTAAAAATAACCACGTTCGTGTGGACAGGGCCTTAATTTGTAAAACCACCCAATCTACTTGAAAACCAACTAAATTTACAACCATAAAAACATGTTTGTTACTTGAAATAAAACAAACATGAACTAATACAACATAAAATACTTTTATAGAAATACGTTTATTATATTATTGCATATTCCTGAGCTTCAAAATAATCCCAAAGATTTTTGAGTTTTTCAGAAGAAGAAAAAACAGTGCTGGGTAAATTACTCTAAAAAGTAATTAGCTACTAAACACAATTTAATTGTGTTTTTGTCATTTTTCGCTTTTATTATTATTATTATTATTAAAATGGAAAAAAGTTGCCTTGGCAACTAGCTGAAATACAATAAGTTTAAGCTTTTTTTATAGTTTTTTATATTTAAGTTAATACTTTTTATTTTATTTCAAGTAATGAAAATGCTTTTATGGTTCACACACATTCAGAATGACAAGGTGATCATTACATTTCCATTTTTAGAGGAACGGTTCCTTTAACAAACTCTTCTCTCTAAATGCACTCAAGAATCAATATGTGAGTGTGTGTGTGTGTGTATCCCTAAATGTTTGACTTTTTCAGCATCAGCTGTTTAGTCCAGATGAAAACCAACAGGAAGTTTCAATATCATCTTCATAACCATCATCACCATCATCATCATTACATTATCTTCATCAACATCATCGTTGCAGGTAAAATGTCTTCGGTAAATCATGTCCTAAAATGATTTCTTAAAAATAAGGTTAAATAGGGGGCTTTCCCAAAGAACCTTTCAGTAAACAGTTCTTTAAAGAACCTTTTTTCTTAGTTTGAAGAACATTTTATGAATCTAAAGAACCTTTTTCCATTATAAAGAACTTTTTTTGGAATGGAAAGGTTCAGTAGATGGAACCATGGAACCATCAATGCCATTAAGAAGCTTTATTT